GTATGGGGTCAATGACGTTCTGTCTCTACCCTCTGAGCTGAATAGAGCAGGCAGGCCAGAGAATGGGGATCGTTGCAAAGGCTGATGAAGGCTGTGTTGTGAGAGTCAAGAGAGACTGTGGGGACAGAGGACAGCTTGCTTGGGAAAGTGGGGGAAACTGCTTATTGACCATGGAATTTAGCTGAGGGCAATAGAAAGGCAGGGTAAGGCTCTGGGATTGGGTCTCACGTGTTTATCCGCAAGCGGGGAAGGCTGAGCGAGGGGACTGCTGGGAGGAAGGAGGAAGGGAGGAGTCCAATGAATGGGTGTGCATGTGTCCTTGTAACTGTGCAATCTGTGTGCTGGTGTACGTGTGTGATTGTGACTGTGTGAGGAATTACGTGCCTATGCAATGGCACGAGTCTCCGAATGTGAACATGTGAACGTGTGTCTGTAGGATTGTAAGCATCCGTGAATATGCGAGGGGAGCAAGTCAGGTGTGTCTCCAGGTGAGCGTGCAATGTGTGTGTGGGTGTAAGCGTGTGTGAGTGTGTGGCTGTGAGATAGTAAACGCAAAGTCACAGTGTTTTCTGTCTCTCTCTCTCTCTCTTTTTCTTTTCTTGAGACAGAGTCTCACTCTGTTGCTCAGGCTGGAGTACAATGGCAGGATCTCGGCTCACTGCAATCTCTGCCTCCCGGGTTCAAGCGATTCTCCTGCCTCAACTTCCCAAGTAGCTGGGATTACAGGCGCCCGCCACCACACCCGGCTAATTTTTGTATTTTTGGTAGAGATGGGGTTTCACCAGTTTGGTCAGGCTGGTCTCGAACTTCTGACCTCAGGTGATCCACCTGCCTCGGCCTCCCAAAATGGTAGGATTACAGACGTGAGCCACCGCGCCTGGCCAGTGTTTACAGTCTCACAGCCACACACTCACATGTGCACGTGCCAATGTGTGTTGTGCACTCACATGAGTATGGGCCGATGTGTGTCCCTGTGAGTGTGTATCTGCGTGCAAGTGTTTACGAGTGTGTCGCTGTGTGCAAGTTTCAATGTGTGGCAGTGAGCGCGGGTGTCTGGAACGTGCGTCTGTGTGAATGTGAAAGTGCAGAGTATGTTTGGGTGAGTCTATGTGTCAGAGTGTGAGTGCTGAGTCTCTGTAAGCACGTGTGTCTACAGATGAGTCCATGTCTGGTCTTGCACGTGCGATTGTGCATTAGTGTGTGAGACTGTGATATTTGGGCCCATGGATGGGAGAGTCAATACGTGTGGCTGTCTGTGTTGAGGAGTCATGTGTGAGTGTGTGTCTTGGGGGTGTGTGAAGTGTAAATGTGTGCACTGCCAGTATGTGAACCTGACCTGATAGTCACACCAACATTAATGGGTTTGGCTACAGCAGTGATTGTGTCTGTGTGCACGAGAGCATAAGGACACAAGATTCTATGTCAGTGTGTTGGGGGATGGGAGGGGTCTTTCTTCTCTGAGAAGATCCAAGGGTCCCGCTCTGAGAGCTTTCTCATGGAGTGTTCACTCGGGGAAAAATTCTAGAATCTCTCTGGAAAGGCTTCATTGGGTGGGGGCTTTTCCAATTCTTGGTGTCCACTCTGGATGATAAGAGAGGGGACCGTGGGGAGGAGAGTGGAGACGGATCCTCCCTCCAATTCCCGGTGCCTGCCTGGAAGAGTCCCTCTTTACCCCCTTGATTCTGAGGGCCTTGAGTAATCTTAGAGTGCAGACATATTCCCCCAGCCCCCACCCTGGCCGTGGCCCGTGGCTTCACCCACACCCTGAGGAGTAGGGGGACCTCTGGGGCCTTGTGGCCTCTGAGCACCTTGGCTGGGTTCCAGGGCGGACGGACGCCGGTGGTCTCTGGCCTCGCTCCCTTCATCTGGCTATGGCACCAACACGCCCAGTTCCACCGTCTCGGTGAGTGTGGAAAGTGGGTGGGTGGGCCGGTGGGTAAGGAATTCAGGGGGCCCTCCAGCCTGAAGACCCACACCCAGGCCAGCAGTCCAGGCTGGGCTTGATGGCAGTTTAGGGCCAGGCACAGTGACTCATGCCTGTAATCCCAGTACTTTGGAAGGCCAAGACAGGATTGCTTGAGCC